AAAAACAGATGAGGAAGGTCTGTGAGGTAAAAAAAAAAGAGGTAACAACACATGACCTGCTCCAGGAACTGTTTTCTGAGGACACTTGCCTGGAACTGCCATTCAGGCAGTGTAGTGGAGAGTGACAGAGAGGTCTCCCAACAAAGGTCCAACAGAAACTGGCCAGACACAACACAGCAGTACAACACGGTAAGTCAGACCTGCCTCTCCTCTGGGCTCCTGACTCCCAGCACAGTGCTGGGCTAGACCCCTTCTAGCACCTAATCCTGTATTTCTGCACCACACCACAGCAGCTTGCACCAAGCTAGAACAGGGATCTCTAACACAGCAGTTTTTTTCTTTCCCTTTCGTGCTGTCCCACTCTGCTAAGGTAACCACTATGCAAGCAAGACAGATGAAGATCAGAGCAAACTTGGGGGTATCCTCAAGTACAACACCCAGAGCCACCAAAATACTGCTGTATGACCAGATAGACTGACCTTGCTCCTCTTTACTGGCTACCACAAGGTCATTGTGCTTTGAGTTTTTGACTGGTGTGCAAGAAAAACTGGAACTGGGCCTGTCATTTATAGCACATTTTCTCAGATGGCTCTCATATGCCTTTATAAACTTTAGTAAATGAGTGTATAAACTAGATCTATCTACACATAAATCACTCTGTCCACCACCAAAGCACAACCATCTCTGGGATGATCCACAGCAGCTGTCGTAAAATCAGACCGCAGCTCTACACCACAGATTAGGGGGAAAATGCTGCATGAGGCAACTGAAATGCCTGGAGGAAGGAACAAGGACACGGTGGAGAGCATTTTGTAGTTATAATTACCCAAGTATAAATTTGGATGAAGAGGGTACTGTGTTTAATGCTTGCATATCTGCAAATCAAAGCAGTCTTCCACCACCTGTCAATGGCTGTACCATTCTCCATGTTTCGGCCTTCTAAAGCCCCTTCTGAAATACCCTGTCTCCCTCTGTAAGAGCAAAGCTGATGTGCTCAGCACAAGCTAATCAAATTTCTTAGCAGCTGACTTGATATCTGTGTGAGCCTGTAGCTGCTATGCCCCCTCCCTCATCTCCCTCATCTCCCTTGCATGACAACTGAACATAACATCTATATATTCCCAGTTTTAAAATAGCTTCTGCTCCCGTAACTTGCAAACTGTTCACATAGATCTTATTTTCGAGGCTGAAAGTAGTTAATTACAGTCGCTAAGGGGACTGAACTGCTGCATCCTTTTCCTTATTCTGGGATGGGTTTGTTGAGCAGTGCATTGCCACCCCCCCCCCCTTTTCAAAGCATGAACTGTTTATAATAGGAAATCTTTCAAAGGCTGGGGCTGCACAGGTTAGATCTATGAATTTCCCATATCAAGGACAGTAGATGAATAGTTATCCTTCTTTCCCTCTTCTCCTTGGCCATACAGCCATATATACATCATATAAAGCTAAAATTGAAAACAAGTAAAGTATGGGGAAGTGATTTGAAAGGTACTCCCAATCAATATATGACATGGGACAGCATGGTTTGGGATGAGGCCACCAGTTTCGGTTGAGGCACCACACAGACTGTGTACAGTGCTGACCTGCAAAAATCATTCATTTAATTTGAGTGCCGCCTCTCTACAACAAGTTCTAGCTTCTCTGCCATGAGTGTTCCTAGCTCCACAGCCTCTCCTAGATACTGTAAAAAGCTGAAATTATTAGCAAAATATTCCTGTTGGAGAACCAAGAGAGTCAAGCATTACATGTTTGAATTGGATTATTACTGAAATACTATTAATAGTGGGTGACAGCTCAGATGGACCATATATGACAGAGTCTGTTTAGTTCTCTAGCTTGGATCAGGAGCACACTCACATGCAGGTCTCTTGCACTGGTTCACACTGCAATCTCCAAGAGCACAGCAAGGGCTCATTTAACTGGAACTAAATCAGATCAGTCCAGCTGCTAAGGGGAATTTGGTACACAGGGCCAGACTCCAGCTAACCCAGCATAAACTCCTGAGGTGTGTACAGTGTGCACCCAACAGTCCTCACTACTAACTGTGCTGGATGACAAACCTGTGTCTACAGGAGCACACTACTTGTTAGCATATGTAACGGACTATTCATGCAGTTTTACAAGAAAACTGCAGCTGCCTGTCGAGGTTCCGATGAGGCAAGGCCTTGTGATGTCTCAAAGCATTTCGGCTGTAGAGTCCTAGTCCTATCCCTTGCTGATAAGAAGAAGCAAAGAATGCACTGAAGGCTTTACTCCCTTCACTAACAAAGGACCTAGTCTTGCTCTTACAACAAAGTAGCAAACCCTTGCTGAGTAAGGCCACTGCCTCTGGCTTGAAGGTGCCAAAAAGGCCAAAGTTAATCTAATACAGGGTCCGCACGACCTCCAACTCAATTGGTTGAAAGGGTTAATGCTACCCTTCCCCCTCTTGCACATGTGCAGAAAGATGTTTGTCCCCATGCAAATTAAGGAGACACCCCTCTCCGCTTCCTGTGCTAATTTGGGAGACACCTCCATGGCTTCCTATGATAACAGAAGAAAGTTAGGCAGAGATCTGAGAACTTTTGTCTATAAAAGGTGAATAAACAAAGAGAAGGCACTTGTGCCCACCACCTGAAGACTCCTGAGATGCTGACAGACTGATCGAGCAACCTCTCCCGCCCCAAGATGTTGACGCTCATCAACAAGGATCCAAAGAGTGGTGAAAACTTTTCTCTCTCTTCTCTCCTTTTCCTTTCTTTTCTCTTCAAGCATCTCTTGATCTCTCTCTCTCTGGCACATATGGCAGCACCTTATAAGTTTTATGCCAGCTCCTTTTGGGGCTTGTGTAGCAAGTTTTCCATAGGTTGTTCATTTTAGTACTGAAAAGTGATTGCAAGTGTTGTGAACGGTTGTGGGTTAAGTGATTGTAAGGTTTACGAGCGGTTGCGGGTTTCTTAGTATTGTTGGAAGTTATGCTGTCGTTATCACATTGCTGTAAGATTCGGTGTTGTTGGCGGTTGGTAGTGTTGTCATGAATTGTCTTTACCAAGTAATTTGTTTTCTTTTATAATTCTGTTACATTCCACATTTTATACCCTACATTTCCCTTTCCCCCCGAACAAATATATGCATTAAAGTTATAAGCCAGTATTCAGTTCTTTGGTGTCGTCTCACCTTAATTTGCCCCAAGGGAATAAACAGAACCTCCGCAAACCCCACCCAGGGTGGTTTTATGAGTTGGGTCGTGACAGCATAGGCATAGCCACATATGTGGTCTCCTTGTATGAAATGTCTGTAAGTGATCGGCCAGTTAACCACAGAATCACAGAATAGTTGCAGCTGGAAGGGACCTTTGAAGGCCATCTAGTCCACGCTAGACTGCTCGCAGTCAGCTTTCTACGTACTTACTTGGAAAAGTTCACTAATTCACACACCCACCTATGGACAGATGTGAATGACATTGTATACCTATCATATAGGATACCTCTTGCAGCAATTTCACTTTGGTTTCTTATGCTGTCAGTTTTTGGGAACTTGCGAGGAGATGAACTATGTTCTCCTTGGGGCTGCATAATAGGGCACATAATAATATGTGCAACTCTGCCATCAGTATTAACAAGTGAACCACACATACTCCAGGCCAAGTTGCATCTTCACATCTTTGCAGGCCTTCAGGAAGTCAGCTGAACTAACCGGATGCAAGGGCATAATTAGGTCTGCCATATTTGAATGAAAAAGGTAAACATGCTCCAGCTGGAGTGTTGTAGATCTAATAACCTAAGAATATAACCCAAGCCCTATAAATCAGAATGTAACACATCAATGGTTTCATTGTATTGAGTTCACTCACACCAGAGGTATGAAGCACGCACTGAGAAAAAGCTCTGTGGATCAGATTACGCAGTCCTAACCTCCACTGCTGTCATCCATCTGCATCCTGAGAGCAAAAGCAATCTTAGATGTAGGACCACCACACTCAGCACTTCATCATGCAAGACAAAAGAAGACATTTTCTGTGTACACAAATCCTGGCTTTTAGGTTTGCGCAACCAAAAGGAGGGAAATGGTAGCTTTTGAATGGGTGCACTTCTGCATAGTCAAGAATTTTCTGTTACCAGCAAAGCAGAAAATTATACAACTCAGTATAGTGTGCAACACAGAGCATGGAATGCATAAAAAGTCTGAAACTCACAAAATTGTATAGTTAAGGATTTCAGCATGCAAATCCAGCACCTAAAATCCTGAAAGACAGCCATGCTTGGTGTCATTTTATTCCTGTTAGCCTCACGATCCATTAGAAGAGTGTTCATAAAAAGAAAAAGACGCTCAGTCTTAACTCTCCTAACAACTTTTGCAGAGATTGTGAGGTGGAAGAATGGCTACTGCATGGTCTGCTAGATACGCAAAATATTGTCAAGAGTTATCCAGGAAACATGCCTTTGGTAAATAGAGTTAGTGAAGGAGAAGTAATTTGAACACAGTATATGAGAATTAGATAGTGTGGGGTGTTTTTTTTTTTTTGATGCATACACAAATATTCTGCTGCTGAAGGAAAAAAAAAAAAAAGAAGTATGAACATTTAAAGCAAAACTTCACAGTTTATGGTTTGTAAGAATGCTGTTTATGTCCTCACAAAGATCAGTGGATAAAATTGACCACAAAACCAAAAAATGTATCTGGACAACAAGAAAAAATATAAACATGTAGTTTTAGAGTCTGGTGACAGCTGGATTACTTCAATAATGTAAAATATGTTCTAAAGGTTAAGCTTTCACTATGACACAAGGTTTCTGGGCCATCTCTTCAATTGCTGTGAAGTGACATTATTTAACAGTTTCCAAAAAACCCCTAAACAATATAGATTAATTTTGAATTTTTGGATTAAAATCTTAATAAAATGTTAACATATGCATACATAACTGAGACAAATAGGGGTCATGCAGGTGCCACAGTGGCATGACAACATTCATGCTGCCTTGCTCACTGCATGAAGCTCCACACCAGCGCATTGTACTCACGTGTTTTGCCGAAAACTCGTCAACCTCCTGAAGCACCTTCTCTTGGCACTCTGGGTTGGTGGCTAGCAAGTACGTGGCAAAGGACAGTGTGCTAGTGGTGGTCTCGTATCCAGCGATCAGGAACAGGAAAGCTTGGCCTGCTATCTCATCATCTGTTAATGTCTTCTGAACCTTTTCAGATGGGGCTCTGCTAGCAAGAGATTCCTCATTCTGTCTGGAAGTGGCAGATGGACTGATCACATCAAAACACCAGTCTGCCAGGGAGTCAGCTGAGCTGCGGGAATCAAGCATCCACTGGAGAAAATCTCTGCGCCTCTGCAGAATACAGGATGAGAAGAAGCATGAAGAGTGGGTCACAAGGCAATGCCTTTACCTAAGGGAGATGGAAGCAGAGAGCTGTCTCCCATTTATACTGCCTGCTTGGCTCCCACAGAAAGGCCATCAGCCTTTCACCAAATGAGGAGACTTCTATAAATCAGCTGGAAAGGCCATCACCAAGAGCCTGTCACTGCTTTCTTCCCAGTGGGATGAGACTGATCTGCCCCCAGTACATAACAGGCACATATTTTCACAGAGGACTGCTAATGGCCAGCTCCACCCAGAGCTTCTTTCATTCTCAGGGTGAGTTTGTGGCACTTGCTGAAAGTAAGGGGATTGTCATAGTGAATATATGGTCCTATGTGCACCTGCCAAGTGGAGGTGGCAGAACTCATGCTTGGAGGAGTTGGCCCACCTGCTTGGAGGCACCATCCTCATTTGTTTATGTTGTCCAAAGCATGAAAGTCACCATCTGGGTTTAGGGTTGCATCTACAATGACTTCTGTACCAGCTTAAAAAGACAGGACTAGAAACTGATGTCAAGAAACTGGTGCATCTTTTTATGAGAAAGTACAGTAATGACCACTAGTACCAACCTTTTTTTTTTTTTTTAAACATATTAGCAGAAATGCATTACAACAGTAAGCATTCCTCTACTATAAAACCTGTTTGGGTAGCTTGTCTTACAAAATGCCCACTGAATGATTCTACTACTATGAAAACTGCTTTCTTTTGCACTAGTTTCTGCCAGAAAAACTCTAATACACAGACTTATGGACAAGAGTGAGTTGACTCCAAACCAGTCTGGACAGCAAGCTTGATTAGGCTTTGAAATATAACCCAAAAGGTTTGAATTGACTTTTGGGAGAGGGTATAATAGAATTGTGCTGAACCTAAGCCATAAGGCTATGTGATTGATTTTCAATTCCTCAAATACCAACAGAATACATGATAGCTCAAGGACTCAGAAGTGACTGCAGTGCCAGAACATGACAACTTGTGCAGTGGGATGGACAAAAGAAGGGACCAAATCTTTCTTCACAAGAAAAAATCCTGTAAAGCTGCATTTATCTGTTAAAAATAAATAATTTGAATGATTTCTTGGATCTGACGATTGAGAGATAAAGTAGAAAAAGGAAAAGCCAGGGAAAAGGACAGGCAAACAAGATAAGAGTAAGGAAGGACTAATTAATTATAAATGTCAAAGGACTTAATCAGATTTATTTTTTTCCCATTACATGGGAAAAAAGAGCAGTGAGACAAGAAAAGAAGAGAAACACTGTGTCCTGTGCTTTGTTCTGCCAACAAACTGTTGTGATTGAGCTACAGGCAGAGGGCAATGGTTATTTTGAGGTTTGAGTAATACAAAGGATTAGCATACTGCCTCTTTAACAGCTCCTTCTCTCCACACCACAGAACCTTTTCATTTTGCACGTGTCATTATGTACTTTGTACCCATGAGCACAGTGCATCTTGCACCCCAGTGCACCCAAGAATCGATGCTCCAGATAGTAGCCAGTGCCAGTCACTGCACACTGAAGGACTCTACAAACTGGCCAGTCAAACTGCAACACCTCCAAGGCATGGGATACATGCTTTTTCCCCATCTGAAGGCACAAAAAGCAGCATTATATACATTGTGCTCAGCAAATGAGCTCCAGGTCTGAAAATACTTCCTTGTGCCTAGGCTTAGGCACAATTTCCATATTCAAATTGTCCATGCTTCCTTGATCTCTCATTTCTACTACAGCAAGCCAAAAATTCCAACCGCCCTGACACAGTCATCCTCCTCCAGCATGATAGGATACCTTTGCTCTTGTATGCTCTTCTAGACCGGAGGAAACAAGACTTTATCCATACTTCAGCTGTGCATAGCTAAGAATCTCATTTAACTTTTCCAAGAAGGGCTTTATTCACATTCTGGGAGTCCATGTATTGAACAACTGAGAGTCCGACTCTTTGGCATAGCCTATGCTTCAGTGATTTTCCTGGTATGTACACTTGGGTTACGCCATTTTTTACATAAATAAAAAAACCAAACCAATCCAGTTCTAGTGTGTTCATTAGTGCATGAACAAACTAGTCCAGTATAGTAATGAACTGCATCTGTAGAGATATTCCATTTTATCTGAAAGACCAGTCATCATCACATTTATAACTACCTTTATAACATAAAAATGTAGAATTACATTCATATTCAGTAACACTGTAACATACTATACTTCAAATAGTATAACATTTGGTATGGTTCTGCATCATCCTTCTCTGGCTATGAACTTTCTTGTAAACAAACTCATTGCTCTCTGAGGGTTTGCAGTTCCTAGTCATGAGCTGTTAGCTGAGTTTGGTCTTATATTTAGACAATACACTCTCTGGAGACCCTATAAGATGTTTCTCCAGCCTTAGACAAAATCAGGTCCCTGCCTTATACAAAGCATCTGGTTATTACTATGATAGTAAAGTAATAATCGTAATGACTAGTGAATAAAATTTCATTCATGAGGATTTCTGCTGAGAGCAAACTTAATGAATGCTAGCACAAGTGACTATTCCCAAGAATATGCTCTGAAATGCCTCTGTGGCCATTTTCAGGAGCTCTTTTTATTACTCACATAATATATTTGGTTAGGTATTTAAAAGCTTGTCTTGTTGCAGAATCTGTTTATAAGGTCACCCTACTGAGAAACAACTCGCTACCTTATCTGTGCCATGTAATTTGTTCACAGGTGAGCAGGGGTTGCTGAGAGCAATGGCTTCATAAACAATCCTTACAAAAACAACATTCATTTGTAAAAACCACTAGAATAACAGTGGAGAAAAAAGCCCCAAAAAATTACAGAGATGAAAGCTCTTCTCAGGATAATTCTACACAGTGGAAGAAGCTATATTTTTGCAAAGCTTCTCTTCCTTATGGTTCATTCTACTTCACTTTATGCATCAGTATAGAATGCAACATAAAAAAATCATCATCAACTCAAGCAAGAGAAAAGATTTCCAGGGTTATAACCAGTCATAATGAAACATATTTTTCTTCTGCACTATCAGGATGGAAAAATCACTCTGACTCAAAAACCTAACAATGGCAATAGAGGCAAACACTAGCACAACACCAAATATAATTGGATTGTTAAGTGCTGCAAATGAGGAAAAGGTACCTCATGAAAATTCACAGGGGTTTTCTCCACTTTTCAGCAGAAAAAAAAAAAAAAAAAGAAAAAAAAAAAAGAGGCAGATTCTAGCTTGACACAGACCAGGTACTGACAGTATCACTGCACAAAAACGTTCTCTGGTCATCACATAGCTGCTGGCTTCCTTTTTCCATCGGGGACATTTGTTTGATTTTCCTCACAAAAAGCAGAAGCCCATAATAGCCTCTATCCTGTCCTCTGACACTTGCATGGTTACATTACAATAGCCTCAGAAACAATTTCCCACTTCAAAAGAATGGCATTCCAATGCAACGGACTCTTGTTTTGCACCCATACAACACAGAGCCTATCATTAAGCCAATGAAAACTGAATAGAAAGCTACTATTTGAAAAACTCTAATTTGAATGCAGTATGGGACAGGGTGCATGTCTAACTTGGTGGTGACACAGACATCCCCTTTGAAATATATAATAAGACAAGCTCTGCTTTCAGCTTCCCCAAGATAGACACCTTGCAATATATTTCCTGACACCAGTGTTCTGGGCCGTATCATTTCTCTCATTAGTCTCCTTAAACATCACCTGGCCATGCAGAGAAATCATTCTGCACAGAACCGTAACGAGCTATGTGCTACACACTGGAAGAATAGATGTGTGCTACACTGGGGAAGGCCAATCTGGCGGTATCTATCACCCCTCCTCAAATCACTGCTTTTAAGTTTTTCAGCTGTCGGAAGAAGAGAGATATATTGCTCACATGCGTGATGTATCATGACTTTTCTCACAGGAGGCAAGGGTCCTGAGGGGGAGGGTGGGGGATGTCCTCCAGGTCTTTCCATCCTAAACAGGGAACTATGTTTTCATATCTAAGACTGACATACCAGCTGACCTTCTGGCAAATTCACCGCTGCTTTGGGGATCCAGGGGACCCTTGGGTTATGCTTTTGGTAAAGAGATTGAGCCATGTGACTTCTCTGCAAGGGGAAGCCAAAAATTACTTAAGGAAACCTACCAAATGTATTAGTTGGAAATTTTGTTACTAATGTTGTGATTTCAGTTTTATTTTCTGTAAACTATATTCAAATTTTGTACCACTCTGATAGTTCAATTCCCCATTTTTTTTGTTCAAAAGAGCCCAGAGCTACAAAAAGCAACTTGAAGATGAAGCAAGGAACCAAAGTAGAAGACATAATTGGTTGGTATTCTGTAAAGCACTTGCTGTGGTGCAAACAACATATGAATGGGATGCTGTTAATATAATACCACTCAAATGTTCTGATGGCAGCTCACAAAAGCAGAAGCTAAGCTTCAGAATCCTTATCTAACTGGTATAAAGCTCACATCTCTGAAATATTTAAGTTTCCTACAAACTTGTACAAACACTGCTATATTAGTTTATATCCAGGGCAGTTTTTGTAAGTTTGATTTAGCAATCATCTTCTTAGGTGAGACAAACCTGTGTGACCCTGAAGTTATTACTAAAGCACTTCAATAGGTACCCAGATCACTTTGAAAAAGAAGCACAACATGCATTACCACTAAAACTATCATTTTGCCAAACTGCTTTGAAAGGATCAAATTCAACCTCTCCCTAACACTTGCAGGTTTCATTTGGTTTCTCAATGAAATCACAAAAAAGCTAGTCTCTCTGCCAATACATCCAGCCCAAAAATATTTCAGAGAGATAGTCCATTTGACTGTGCTTGAACCCAGAAGCTGGAATTAGCTGGGAGGCCAGGACTGACAGCCCTCAGATTTGTGCATCTGAAGGTTGAGGGCATGATGTTCTCATGGGTGACACTCAGCTCTGGAAGGACCTGGAGTCTGTTGAACTGCAGAGTAAGGCTG